TGGGAGGTGGCACTTCAGTAGACTCACATGTACGCTAAATAGTAGGGAGAGTTATATAGTCATGCAGCTCTTTAATCTGTTAACGGATAGGCGGGAAGGAATGAAAGTGATAAGGGAATAGACTTAATCCTTTCTTTCACATTTGCTTGAATTTAAAAAAAAAAAAAAAAAAAAAAAAAAAAAGTAAGAAGGGAAAAGACTTCATCCTTTCTTTCACCCATTTGGTAGAAGAGGACGAAATATCAAGATAGCGGACAAGACAGAGTGAGAGAGAATGAATAGAAAGAACAAGGGTTTGTCACTATCCACTCTTTAGCATATCTATACCATTATAAGAAGAAGAATATGTGTAGAGGAACAGTTCATGAACTAAATCCATACAAAGAGCGGCAAGTACCTGCCCTAATGCTTGGAGGCAAAGTGCTCGGAGAACTCCTTCTGCAAGGTCTACTGGTAAGTCCCTCCTGCAACCAAAAGCAGAGGTCAATAAAGAAAAAAGACCCCACAGTGCGTGAAGAATTTACAACACTTGAAGTTGCTCTTTGTGCAAGTCTTTATCTTTGTAAACCTGAGTTCAGAAGATAACTGTGGCAGAACATGTCGGACAGCGCAATCTAGGTATCCTGCTGCCTTCAAGAAGATGTCAATTGAAGCTCGCCTGCTTTCTATCACACAAGAAAGAAAATGACACCTTTTCAGTAGGAATAGACAAATTAAATTTCCTTATGTGGCACACAAATGATAAGGAATGAATACATAAAAGCAACATAAAAATTTTGAAACTACCACATCTCGCTCAATATATCCCCAAGCAATTATCTTAGCAGGAAAATGGATGATATTAACGACTGTTTAGAATTTTGTTATCAGATAAAACTGAAAAGCCTTTCAGATTGCAGGCTGGAAATAAAAAAATTATAACCCTATTATGAACTCAATTGAATTAAAAAATGTTTGAGAACAGATCCTGCAATTAAACCATTAAAGTACACAGCAGAGAGCAGTCACCAGGTTAAGTATAGTGTTTCATACAACACTATTAAATCTCAGTAACAGAACATATCAAGTGTAGTTAACAAGTATGAGATTAGTACATGGAAACAGACAAAATCCTGATTAACCTAACCAATAGTCTTTTAAGCAAATAGTCCCAAAACCCATCTGAGGTAAATGACCAAACAATGAAAAGAATAAAACCAATGTCCATTTCCCGTATAATTATTAGTAATAGCAGAATCTAATCCTCCAACCCTAGTATCCAGTATGAATGTAAAAGCTTTTAATATACTAGCTAGCTTCTCTTATGTTAAAGCTAGAATAGATAGATTTTTGACAATTTACCTGGACATACGCTGTTGCTTTGTCACAAGAAGTTCATATTAATTCAAAATTCGTTAAGATAAAATCAAATAAATTGCAAAATGAACAATTGAGGTTAGACATATATACAGCTCCAGCACATTAGGTACATTATTGGTATCCTTCAATTAGAAGGATACTTTAACTTCGTGTCCTCAAGTAAACATTTCAAAGCTTTTGTAATTACATCAAAATAATGATGACGAAAAAGGAGAGAGAGATGGAACATCACCAGCATAAAAATTTGCAATCAGCACTTACCTTCAGATACTTTTGGCTGATAACCATCAGAAGATGTTCTTGGAAGAAGCAATAAGTTGGCCTGTGATAATGATAACGTTGCCATCAAGTGCAAGACTGACAACACTTCATACCAAGCATTAGAAATGGCTGTTTCCTGCAAAAAAGTGATTCATATCAATCCAGCATTTTGACAAGCAGAGGAATGGAATCCCAAATCAAGACAAAATAAACATAGACAAAAACATGTAACTCAATAAACTAGAATCATACTCCCACCTCTGCTTCATCCTCCTGGTTTATCCAAACAAACTGTACTTTGTGTTGTAGATGGTTTCCTGCACAATACAAACAATCAACAACATTAGAATTTACCCTACACAATCAGGCAGTTCAAACAGTCTTCCAAACACCACGACAAATGCATTCATTACCATCTTTTACTAATCCCATAAGTACAGGCAAGTAATCTTCGAGAGCCTGATGAAGATCAGCCAATGTTGAACCTCCTGCAAATAACAATTCAGGTTAATACATCAACTAGTGCCAATGAACTCTTAATAAATATCATTCTTTGGAGAAACAAACCATGTTGTGTAGCACTTTTTCTTCTTGTTCTTGAAACTGTTGGTCCTTCTTGGGCTGCCATGACAACTATACGTGTTCTTAGAGCAGATAAACGCTCCACCAAATTCTTCGACAAGTTGTCACCAAGTGATTGAGAGAAATCAACAGGTATAGGAATTCGTAAACCAGGTACATAAACAGAAACATCTCCAATATTTCCTGGTCTCCTTCTATTTCCAACCGTATCCTTGGACGTTGACAAAAAGCATCCCATATCCTCGAACTTATTGTATCTAATAATTTAAGGAAACCAAAAATCAAATTAAATTTTCGAAGTACTCAATGCCTCTCATACAGAGGGCAACAATTATAAATATGAACTGGGAAAAGTACAATATAAGAAAATGAAGTTCAAAGAATATAGACAAAAATCACAAGTGGACAAGTAGCAGCAGAGACAATTAATGTTCAACTAACAAACAGCTGAACCAGTTGGTTACTCACGAGTAGCATCCAAATCACACTCACTGGAACTCTCCAAAAGTTCTCGAAAATGAGAACTTTTCCATCTAACGATTTTCAAAAATAAATTAAAATATTTTTTCTTCTCTTTTCTACCTTCAATGAGCGGTCCATTTTTCATAAATATATTTGACAAAATGCACAAAAAAATTTAAGTTCTCTCACCTAGTGCTCTTATCAGAAGCTTGAGTGATGGGTCAAAAGTTGAAGTAGTTTCTGCACCAGAACAAAAGACAAGTTAAAGGCAATGCATCACAAGTAAAGCATGAAAATTTACTTCCTTTTAAAAGAGGAAAAAAAAATTAAATAAATAAATATTAAAACTTGTATCATATGCTTTACAATTACAAATGAAATTTCAAAAGAAAAATGTGAAGGAAAAGATTTCGAATTCAACCCAGCTAAAAATAAAAATAAAATAAAATAAAAAAGGGTAGGTGACAAATAGATCAAAGCTAGGCATGAGTCTGATAATATAAGTTCACAAAAATTGAAATGAAATAATAGCAGGAAAAAAGTCCAAAATTGATTAATTTTACGAGTAAAGAATATCCAAGTGAGTTCAAACAAGCAACACACAAAGCAAAGCGATTGCTTCGTCTGTTAGTTTATTATTCTGAGAATTGCGTATCTATGAATTAAACGACCAAAATAAACCAAAAGAAAAACACTCCTCAGACTTGCTGAGAAAACGCAAGAAACAGAAAACCCAGAAGAGCAAATTCACGCAAAAAGCAACAAAAACCCAGTTGTTCAGAGAAGAATTTGATCATAAAAAACCAGAATTAACATCATTTGAAGAGATTGAAACGGAGATGAAATGGGAATGATGAAAATTGAAATTGAATAAAATCTTACCATGAATTGAAAAGGGTGTTGGGTGTGAAGAGAGTATAAGAAAAACTGAAACTTTGTATATCAAATGAAATTCAAACCCTAAGAAATGCGGAGAGTAAACTAACTGAAAATGGGCGAAATTGAGGGTTGGGTAATTGGATGATTGAAACTTGAGAGAGAGAGAGACAAAGAGAGAATTGAATTGGATTGGAATGGAATGGAATGGAATAAAATAAAATAAAAAAATGCTAGAAACACAAGAGAATATGCTAATGAAAACTGATGATAATTGCAACCATTTATATTAAGTACGTAATTTTCGCTTTGCTATCTTACTAGCACCTAACTCCCTTAACTCTCTCTTACCCCTTCTTAAACCTTTAGGTTTTGATAAGTATCACAAACTCCCCTTATTGAGATAAGTTTGATGGGAAAGTGTCGCCACATCATTTTAAAACAAGAACGTGGATTGTCTTACCATATTCACCAATTTAACGTGATGAAACCGTCTAATAACATAATGACATATAGAGTTTAGTTTTTATAACTATCTATCATAATGGTAATTATGGATGAATGATAGACAGTAATTATTGATCAATCATAATATTAGGCCGAAGAAAGTTAAAATTTCATTTATATATGTGATAACACATGTCATTATATTATCTGACAATCTCACTGTAGCAACCAAATAATGTGGTAAATACTGTCCCATATAAGTATATAAAAAATTTAATTTGGTTTGGTTTAGATTTTATGGTTGGGTTAAAAGGTTTTGTAGATGCAGGTTAATATTTTAAAAAGTATTGAGTTTTAATAAAATTTAGTGATCTTGTAGGGCGTACAATGTAATTACCCTAAAGTTCTATAAAGTGCGCCTAAGTTCACCACCTAGTTGTGGACACTACAATGTATTAATATCCTATGCTTTAATGGAAGAATATAATTGAAGCATTCAATTATGATATTGTATTAGCATCATAGAATCACCTAGTACTATATTTATATTAATGTGAGGTTATATAGTCCAATTATGCATAATCTCTATTAATGTATGCCACAATCTTTAATAATATAGTTAATTAATGTCACCCATCAAAATTCTTTTCTATCAAATCGATGATATAATATTTCACGGTAAGAGTGTTTCAGTTTAAAATGCTATTAATTAGAAGGTTTAATTGTACACCCGTGAGGTTTAGAGAGAAAACTAGAAGACCCACAGGTTTTTATAATAGAACACTTACCCCCTTATGATTGACAAGCACTTTTTAAAAAGTTAATCCTGACACAGAATCTTGGTACAATAATAAAATACCATTATTTTATCTTTTCCCCTACAACAAAATGAAACTAATACCTGAAATTTGTCATATAATCAAGTTATTAAATATATTAAATAATTTTAAAATATTAAACTTTGACCATTCAATAAGACATTTGGGGAAAAAAAAACTGTTTTTTTAGTGTTGTATATTTTACTTTTATTATAGTTACTTTTCACAAATATCATTCAACTACAAGGGTGTAAGTGTTTCATTCTGAAACCTGTGGGTCTCTTGTTCACTCACTAAACATCAAGGGTGTCTATAAAGCCTCTATTAATTAGTACTTGAGAATAATTCCATAATTAGTATTTCAACATGTGCTCTTAAGGTACAGTTTAAATACCCTTAAAGATTAAAAATAAATTAAAAATTATATTTTTTTAAATCTTTTTTTGTATATATAATAAATAAATATTTTATCTTCTTGCATAATTAACATATGTCTTAACGATACACACTTTATTACAACCCATTCAAAAAATAGGAAACACTTGAAAGTGGGAGAGATTTGTCAAACGCGGCGCCTTAAAACACACGTGAAATGATTCGAATTGAGACTTGTTGCCACTGTTTCCAGTTGTGTTCTTGGCTTCTCGCCAAACCACTTGTGTTTTTGTTCTTCTTTAAAAAATGCCAAAAATATTAAATTTAAAAAACAACCCAAATTTTTTTTTTTTTTTTATTTTTTATCTTCCACTAATATTGGCCCCACATTTTTTTTTTATAAAAATGAAAAATTAATTAATATAGTTTCAAATACTTTTACTGTATTATTATTTGTTTTATTCGGAAATTATAACATTATTAATGAAGCCACTCGAAGCTTTGACATTTTTCTAACACTATCGATTTTTTTAATTCTAGAGACTACTAAAATGCAAACATGATCTCAATTGTCTTATTATGTATAATATATATTGCTTCAAATTATTAAATTAGAAAATATATTTCACACCACTAAAGAATAATTAATTTAAATACCCACCTTGTTTATTTTGAGATTTATTATGATTTCTTTCTAGACTTGTGTAAAAACTTTATAATATTTATTGATATTGTGATTTGAAGTATATAGGATGTGTGGTGGAATCTACGTAGGAATTTGTATAAAACTTGTAATCTCAATGTTGAATCGATGAATGAATGAGATATTGAACAATAATACAAAGAAAATATTTTTAAAATAGTTCGAATGTTAAGTGTAAATCTCACGTCCACTGTTATTGTGTATTGTTTTCTTTGTGCATTGATACAACTTAAAAAATATTAATAAAAAAATCAAACCTCTTAATCTGAATAAAAAGTAAGTTTATATACTGTTACAATGATAAACTTATAAATAAAATTAATCTAAAAAAATAAAATGTGGCGTGAATTCGTTTTTCAAGAATTGACGGCACAATAATATTTATCAAAAACATCTCTAATTTAAGTGGTTTTATTGACAATTAGGCAGAAATTGAGATGGAAATATGAAAAAATTTCAGATTAAAGATTAGAAGAATAATATTTTTTAATAAATTTAAATTTATTTCACAATTATTTAATAAATAAAATAATTTTTTAAAAGGATTGTTGAGAAAAGAAAGGTTATGTAATTGTAAAGTAGAAGATAGGTACAGAGAGAACAGCAAGATGACAAAAGACACGTGTCAGATAGTTACGGGTGTAGGCTAGTGATTGTCTGTCTGATGGTGGCGGCAAGAAGTAAATGAATCCAACAAGCATCACGGTAGACGAAGCGACACGTGTCTGACAGACGTAGTGCCTTGACGTAGAAGGAAGACGATCAAAGGAATGTAGCAATTCGTTGCTTTGGAATGTTCACAATTCTCACCTTTTATTTGTAGGAGCCTATTCCCTCCACCATTTACCAATATAATTTCATAATTAATGTTAGAGTAGTGCTATTTGTGTCAATTGATCCGGATCAAAAACTTTTTTGAAAAAGTAAATTTACAAATTTATCTTTTAATAAAATAAAATTATTTTTGGCTCATAAACCTTGCTTTTTGGAGGGAAAGCAATTTAAAGATGAGAGGGAAATAATTATTATTTCAATATTTCCAAAAATAGAAGTTGGAAAGTAGAAATTAATTTATTGGAAAGTATGAATTAATTTATTGTAATAATTAAATTGTTTTAAAAAAACAAAACATGTAAAAGGTACCCGTTTGCAAGTGTAATCCCTTTTGTCTTGTGTCATACTTTTATCATCCAAAGTTGAAGTGTAATCCTTATTGCAAGTGTAAGAATCCTTTGCAACACATTTTCATACAAAGTATGTTGAGTTAGCTTGGATGTTTAGCCAAGTACACTAGTTTAGTTATTGATTAAAGTATTTATTTGAGAAGCATTATTTTGTCAATTATAATTAAATTTATAATTGTTGGTATGAGTCAAATTTAACAATAATTTTTGTTTTATTTATATCACCCTTTTAAGTTCAGAGTCAGGACACTAAAAGCATATAATATTTCATTTTAAATTCTAAGTGCTAGTAATTGAAATGACAGTTAGATTAAAGTAAAAAAATTTGATTCTATAAACATTAACTTTTGAATTTACTGTATAAACTTGACTGCATTAACTTTAAGTTAGTG